TAAATGATGGATTTAATTTTTTCCATGAGAGTGTGTGTAAAGACAACCTTAAAGTACAAAATGGTCTCTTGTTATCTGGAGGTAATGTTAATTCACCATGAGATTTTGTCCAATTTTAACCAGTTTCTGGGTTCTATCACCCAAATGACTTTCAATCCATTTTACTAGTTATTTTTCTGCGACAACTGATGCAATCTTGCTCCAGTTTTATGTGGCACCTTATCAAATCTTTTCTGAAGCTCCAAGTATACCAAATCTACTGCATAACTCATGACCAAATTTAATGTAGCATTCAGAGAACCTACTGACAATAAAATTAAATGGTGTTTTTGATAAACACCCATGAAAAGGAGTACATAAACCCAGAAACTTGTTTTGGAAGTACACACTTTTCTTCTAGTTTATTTCATATAACAAAGGCTAGTGAAAATATCTTTTCTGGTCCTTGCGATCCGATATCTAATATTTCCTGCTGCGTCACTGCAATACGAGCAGGTTATATTTGATTTGTGCCTGCTTTCATTTAATCATAGTTTTTCCTTCCAAATTTCAACCATTACACAATGGTATTAAACTTTTAAAATTATTATGGTTGAAGATCTCAGAAATTTATGGAATGTTCATAAGTTACACAAAAATGTTTTTGAATAACCACCTATAAAATAGTCTTACATAAAAAAAATTTAAACACAAGAACCGTGAACAAATTTCAGTAACAGTTTTCTTCTGGTCTTTCTAATAATGATTTGTTAACTCTTTCATCACGGGCTTGGTCCCCGGGATCAACTTCATAACCATTTTGTACTTGTTATAGTTTTCATGCTATAACTTTTAAATTAGTTAGTGCATGTTAAGGAAATTAAGCAGATTATCAGTAAACATTACAATACTTTCATATGCAAAATATAACATTTTTTTTATTAAGTCTTAAAGTTTGTAAAGCAATGTTTTTCTCGTGCCTTTTTTTGCTTTTCACATGTTCCCTATCCAACATGCAAAGTAATTTTTATTTTAAGAATAAAAATACTTTTATACGTAAGAACATTTTAAAATTTCACATGCAAAATCTTTATAATGTCCAGATAGTTATCAAATATTTCTTAAGAGAAAGCTTTATATTTTATCTGTTATTTTCAGTAACAAATCTCTGTACGGGTTTGGTAAATTTGACCTTTGACCAATCTTGTAACCACCATAAAAAATTAGGAAATAAATATAAATTATGCCTCTTTTTTTCTAGAATGACAACAGATTATAACACGAAAACATAAATGTTTAGACTAATTAGCTTAAATCTCATAACATTATACATTTATATATATTTATTATATTGACCTTTCAGCCGTGCCTCGATAACAATGCAGAAATTACAATGACACGGCACACGTGCACTCATGTTACTGTATCCAATAGTATGAAACTGACCTTTAGTCTTTACAAAGTGACCTGCCTTGGCTGTGTTTTAGTAGATTAGTATTTTGTAAAATACAGTCACATTTCAATTATTATCCATTATATATTTATAAAAATTATTGTTATTTAGAAATAAGTTCTTAAACTTATTTTTCTTAAAACATAGAACAGTAAATAAAGAAGTAAAGCTAATAATTATGTCTTCTAGTTACGAACTTTATATTCGGTTGGTTGCTAAGCCTTTTAAAATTTCTCACGTGGAGGCTATGATACAAAATAATTCTTTTTTTTAGGTCTTATATATACAGTTGAATAACCAAAAAATCATAAATTACTATATCAATACCATAGAATTTATCAAGCTTAGTAACAAAGCTGTATTTCAGTTTAAAAATATATAAAAATTGGAGAAGACTAAAGAAAAATCTTGAAATCTTGAATCGAAAGGAAGAGATGCCATCCTAAGAAGTTAAAATGGCTAAGAAAGCCAATATGATTATTCATGTCATATAAATGAAGTAAGTGTATATAAGGGAGCATTTCCAAAAATGGAAAGAGGTGGATGGGGTGCCACTGTATTTGATTTATTACATAAGCAATATCTTAGCAAACAGAAAAGAGGTTCTTATTTTATATTCTAGCTTGTAATTTGAGTTCTTAATCATATGAAACTATAGACTTAGTATTCTGACATCACAAACATCTAATTTGAATCAACGCTGCATTCAACACACCATGACACACACAAAAATCAATTTTTAACTGTGTTTTTTAATATTTACGTTCAAATTAAGAAATTGAGTAATGTATAATACTAA